GCAGCAAATCCTCTAAGTTTATTTCTTGAGTCTTCCACCAAAGACGTGGCACTTGTGTTCAGTTTTTTTGTGAGATTGGTACAGATTTCTGCACACCAAAATTTGTTAATGGTCATTTTATATTCCCATGGCCTGAGTGTACATTCATTTTAGATCCAAAATTCAACATTCAGTTAGGAAATTTACTGTGTGCAAACACACCTAATCACTTTGGAGTTGGAAGATGTGTAGAATTTTATACTTTACAGCCTTTAATAATTATCAAGTAACACTTCTTGGCAGAGCAGTTGTTAATAATTCATTTTGGGTATTTTTGAATAATAATAATACATTCAATCCTGCTATAATAATATCTTATTGTTATTTGTGAATAATGATCAGAATAAATACACAAACTGGATCTCTCTATAAAAGTAATACAAGGGGCCATTACCTAACTTCTTTTACAAAAGATGATGTACGGGTAATTCTGAATTTTTCTTGAGTAATAATTATTAACAAATAGTCATAAGTATTTAAGCCACGTTTCTTAATAATTTATATTTCCAATGTAAAATCCTTTGGAGATGAAGTAGTAATGACAAGTGGTAAATATTTGTGTATTGTGAAGTCATTACTGCATCATTGTGTGATAATCTGTCAAAAATCTCAAGGATTATCTCATGTATTGAATATCCAACCATTGTTTCTTTTTAGTTCAATTTGCCTGTCTCTATTATGGTGCTAAGCTTATTTCAGTTTTATGCTACAGAATGTAGCAGAATTAAAAAAAAAAAAAAAACAACCAATTTTTTAGCTTTTCTTAACACTTCACACACCAAAATTTGCTTTAATTTCACAAGATTCATATTATTTGGCATGAACTTGCTTGGTGTTTATTATTGAGACCTCCTTTCACATGAAGTGTTAGGATTTCTGTATTCACCTGTTGGTAACAACAGAGATTGTTGCCTCAAATTAAAATTTTACCTGGGCTTGGGAGAACTGTCTGAATTCCTCTTTGCTGTCATACAAAACACTGAAACTGGGTTTTGTCCCAGTACAAACAATATTTGTAATTAGTGGTTTAGGTGATGAAATTGAAGTAGGATTCAATGTGTTAATTCTTAATTAAATTATTTAAAATAAAATCAGTGAGGGGATTATATTACCAGAATGTAAAGATACAGAAGTAGCCCTCTACCAAAATATAGGCCTAATATCTTTCTGAAAAGAGATGTGCTCTTAAAATACCTTCTTTTCAATGCAGTGTGTAAGTCCATATTAAAATTATGTTCATGTACTAATCACAATAAAAATGCAAATATATGCAAAAAAAGGTTTATATATATATGTATATATATATATTATATATATTTATATAGGTGGTAGTTCTATCTTATTGTAGATCCTTAACATGAGTGTCTTATTTCCTTTTAAATTTTGAGATTCTTTATATGTATTATGTAGAAAAGTTCAGGCTGTCCAAAGAAAAATTTCCACTCCCTGACTTTTCTTTACTTATGCAGTGCAAGCACTGAGGATTTGAATATTTTCATTACATAAATGTTGTGAGGTTTTGAATTTTTTAGAAACTGGCAAAATGAGAGGGCAGATTTTGGGTGTTGGAAAAATTTTGACAGGGAATCAGAGGAGAGCTAGAAATTAAAGCAGAGGGGAAAAGACAGATTTTTTCCCTAATAGGGAATCCAGATGAACCAAGATTCATTTGATTAATAGTAGTAATGATAAAATTGTGGTGCATTGAGAACTCAATCCAGTAGAAACACACAATATTAATTTCAGTGTGGAAGTTTGAGCATACAGAATTTCTGTTGGTGGAGTCCCATGCTTTGTACTCAAACACAGAACACGGGGCATTTTAAACAGCTTTTGTTGTAAGTAAATATTTTTAAACAATATATAAAACAACTGATCAAATTATTGCACAAATAATTACTCAAAGCTTATGCACCTTCTGAAAATAAATTAGTAAGACAAAGCAATCTTTTTCCATGATTGCCCTTGCCCAAAGCTGCCTGAGCACGTGTGCAGTTCCCATTTCCAGAGCCAGCTCACTACGTGGATTTTCCTGACATGTTTTGAAAGTACACTTTGGTTGAACCCAAATATTGCAAGTTTGCACTTAAAAGAAAATGTCTGTCTCAAACAGTAGCACAAAGTAAGATACAGAATGGATGCCCAGCCCAGCCTGCACAACAGGATTGCTACCATGTTGTTAGAATAATTATATTTTGGCTGAACTAACTAATTTATAAAAACTGTGGCACATCTAGCAAGACTGAAAACTTTCCAAGGCTGGCTTTTTGGGTTGTTTCAGGTTTGGTTTTTTTTTCATTTTTAGTATAATTTAAAACAATACCTCTTCTAGCTGCCAACAAACTCTTTCCCTGAATCTCACCATTCCTGGCTTCCCTCCTAACCATGTCCTGGCTCCCCTCCAGAGCTGCCAAGTTTATGCCAGAAGCAGGAGGTATATTTGTATGGGGCTGGAGGAAGATCTGGAGCTCTGTTAAATTTTCCAGCCCAGATGGGGCAACATGATTTGTGTCTTTATGTCAGTGTGCCATACATCACAACTATCTGTGTGCTGACGTCAGCTTTGATCGGGCATTAATGTGCTGAACGCTGCAAACTAGAAAATACATGATAGATACAGATCTATGGCAACAATGCCACATAAGCAAATGTCTGTTTGGTGTGGCCATCCACTGTGCAAAATATTTCCCAAGATACACTGCATTAAGCCAGGGGAATATTTTGACACACTTCAAAAACAAAAACAAAATCAACGTGGGCAAAGACAGCCCCATTTAAGAAAGCAAACCCTTTCAGAGGAAGAGCTGAAACCCAACATGTTAGGCAAATATTGAGGTGCTGTCCCTCACTTGAATCTTAATTTTGAATTAAAACCAAATAGGGGAATGCTATTCTTATGATTTGCAGGACTGTCAGTGATGGGGGCATGTTGCTGATGGTTTCTTTCCACAGTTTTTGTGACCCATTGTTATCAAAACTGGCAAGCAAAAACATCAGCAGACAGCAAATGTTTTTTTCAAAGGATAGGTTTTGGGTTCTTTTGTATCAGGACTTCAGCTTTCTTTCCAGCAATCATCAGTGTTTATTTATTTATATAAAAGTTTTTTGCTTCTTACTTACACAAATAGCATCCAGCAGCCTCCTGAAGAGCTGACAAAAGATGGCCATTTCTGGTCTGTGGGGTTACAGAGGTCACTGACTACTTTAGATTTACATTTATACCATCTTTACGTTATTGCCCCCATAGAATAAGGATTCCATTAAAATATAATATATTGTGTCTCCCTTCCTAGAAGAGGAAATGATTTGCAAGCCAGCTTCACAATAGCAAGGTGTGGGGATTGATGTGTGGGCAATGTCCTTTTTACCTCACTTGTGTTATTCCTCAGAAGGGAAATTCTGTAGGGTGACAGCGCTTTATCATCCTCCGTGGCTAAATTTGTGGGTAAAATGGAAGTTCCCTGGCTCCGCGGGGGTGGATGCTCTTGGCCTGGGCACAAGAGGCTTTGAAAAGAGCCCCCTGCCCAGGATTTGATGCCATCTGGCCCAGAAGGTGGGGAAGGGAGGGGGTGTGAAGGTGCCATGGGATCTGTGGGTTTAGGGCCGGTAACCTGAGCAGATTGGGCTGTCCCAGGCAGACCTCAACTTCACGTGGAGGTCAGGAAACAGAATTCTTTTTATTCTTCGACAGGAGCAGGAGATTTTCGCCTTTGGTGTCTGCTCTGTAAGCTTCTCTGCGGCTAGGAAATAATGGTTATTGAAATGTGGGTTCTTGGGAGCAGTTGATCACCATTTTTATAAACCTGAATGTCACTACAATGCATGGACTATTCTAACATGTCTGGGGATGTTTTAGTGTGTCTGCTCCTAATTGATGAATTGTTATTATGGAATAGTTTATCAGTATTTAAATTTACCTTTCAGAATAAGCAGAAGTCATATAGTTTATGAAAGAAGTGCAAAATGTACAAAATACTTTAAAATCAATGAAAAATACCAAACTAGAACCTGGGGCTGCAGAACTAATTCCTTATAATTGTAATGGGTATTTTGAGATGATTGGTCTTGATACCCCTGAAGGTTTGATAAATGTAGCACCTACAAGCACCAAGAACAAGTGTTATAACTATTAAGATAACTATTTGTTATCTTCAGGAAATATTTTGATTTTTACCACAGAAATGGTTCTCTTTTTTCCTCATTAAATACTGACATCATCAAAGCATTTAAGAACATTTTTTCTGACTTACCTCTGAAGATTTCTGTTGTGACCTTTGAATGTCTCTCTCTGCTATATAAAATTGAGTAAAGAAAACCACGTGGAAAACAGCTTATTCAAGGCATGTGACAGTACATTGTAGAACAAGGCATACGGCAGCACGTAAAAAATCACAAATATATTGAGAAATGATAATGCTGTTTGAAGTTTAGAGTTTTATTGTGCAGAGAGAAACTTTTACAGGGTAAAGTGCTGAGAAATCAGCATTGAGTTTTCCGTGTTCCACTGATAGCCAAAATGAATAATTGTGTGGGCTCTGCTTGCTCAAAATATTAGAGATGATGTGCCTAAGTGTATTAAAAACCAAGGTTTTCAGAACCCAAACAAAAACTGGGCATCAGACTCACAGCAGAAATCAATGAGAGATAAGCCTAACACATGGCTTGTTGATATTGCTGATGTGAGCAAATGCTTGTTGTGAAGATTTAGGGAAATGTTAATTTAGTGCTAAGTTAGCCCTTTCATGGTTTATCCTTGTCAAATATTTGTTTTCTTTAGACACATACTTGAAGCCTTTTAATTTATTTTTTTTAAGAAAAAAAAGCCTTCTAACATAATTTCTATGTATTGATGACCTATTTTCCCCTCACAGTTTGTCACTGAGAAGACCAAGGCTTGCTCTGTGAACATTAATTACCTTTTTCATCACGTAGGATTTGTATTTTGTTTCCATGTCTTACAGAATAAAGCAATTATGGAACGTGTAACAAACTTGTCAGATATGGTGGTTGGTCTTGAATCATTTATTGGCTCTGAGAGAGAAACCAATCCATTGTACAAGGATTACCACGGTGAGTTCCATCTTCAGCAAGGCAAAAAGTCCGCCCTGGGTGTTTCTGGGGCACTTAGCAGCTCGCCCTCCAATTGGGCATCTGCTCTAAAGCAGCGTTTGGTTTCATTTTGGAATTATACCTCTTAAATGTTTCCCCTTGCCTAAGCAGCCTTGAGTTAGGGAAATTTCCAGCAAAGTGCATTAAGGCTGCAAAGGAAACATGGCAACTCCTTGCATGTTGTCAAGCTGCATTACTGAGGCATGGCTCAATCAGATGTACATCTCACCAGGCAGGCTTTGGGGAATTCACATGCAGGGCAGGCTTGGCAATCATCTGACCAGCGAGCTGGACTTGTCATGAAATCAATACTTTCTGATCTGCCAAGTTTTAAATTGAGAACAAGGGAAAACATGTATTTTAGTTAGTAAGGTGAATAAAACGCTGAATTATGTGCTGAAAAATAAGGTTTTGTTTTGTCAGCTGTAGGTTACAGCACTTGCTCTTTTAAGGAAATGTAAAATTTGAAACTGATTTTGGTAAAAAGTCATGTAGGCTTTCGAGTGTTTTATCTTCAAAATGGGTAATGGTGCTTAATCTTGCATTTTCTTTCCCAAAGAATTTCGTCAGCTGTTGCAGCAGAACTATTTAAATTTTAAAAATAATATTAGAAATTGTGCACAGCCAGAGCAGTGGATAACAGTTTTAGCTAATCCAGAGCACTGTGCATAAATTACAGCTCTTATTATTGTGATATTACTGTAGTTCCATGGAAACCTTCAGCTGAAAGTAAACTGCTTATCTGAAATCTGCTGTAAACACATGACAGTGGCAGTGTTTTCCCCAGCAGAATGTATGGAGTACACAGAAAAAAAAAGCAAAGATGGTGTTGAGACACCACTGTGTGTATGCAAGCTGTAATTAATAAATCAGAGAAAAATCTTTCTGACTGTGAAAGTGGTGCACGTTTCATTATCTGGGAAAAAAAAAGGTGAATGAAAAAGAAACCGTGAACAAAAGCTGGAATAATTTGCCTAATTATTTTTCCAACTGTATAATCGTGATATGGCCTTTGTTTATGCTAGCATAATTCTGTCAATTTAATACTCCTTTTTTCATTACTGAAGAGATCCTTTAGGACAATGTTTGTTTTAGCTTTTATTTCCTGGTTTCCTCTAAAAATGCACGCTAAGCCATTTCTGGTGCTATTTAATACAAATTATGTGCCAATGTACGTAGCTTTTGAGATTTGCACAACCTTGATTTGACAGTCTGAAAAAAGGTGTTTCTAATGGTTTTAACTTGGTAGATTCTTTTTGCCTAAGAACATATTTTAAGGTATTTATTTATTGCAGATGATGAAAGATTTTGACATTATTCAAGAGAAGTTTGATTACGTTATTGCATTATTTAATGAATACACCGTAATCATTTTGTTAAGCTGCCTGCAAATTTAAATGTTTGAAAATCCACAAAATAACAAAAGAATTATATAGCTTACCCCTAAATGAAAATTTTTGGGATACTGTATATAAGCAACTCTGTGTTATACCTGCTGTTCCTATATGTAATAATTAGATTTTTTACTCAAAAACCTGAAAAATAGTACTTCTAATTCACTGTACAGTAGGCAGGGATAGAAGGTTTAAAACTGTAATAACACTTTTCTAATATTATTGACAATTTTTGTAATTAGTGCCCGAAAAAAATGCTGCTTTTTAAAGTGCTTCAATTTTAGGAAACTTTAAAAAAAATAAATAAATGCCTGAAAAAAATACTTGCCTTATTTGAAATAAGGGATTTAATGTTTGGGGATTTTCTCACAGCTGCCGTTTTGAAGTCAGGTACCTTTTCTAAACGTTCAGTATTTCCATTTAGACGCTGGCTTTCTGAATAACAAATATAGGCCAGTAATTGAGAAGCCCTGAAGAATTTTCCTGGTTTTCAGACGTAGAAAATCCCCCTTAGGTTGTTCTGAGACTATATTAGGCTGCACAAAAACCATCCAGCGTCCTTGTCAGAAAAAATCAGCCTGACTTGCAGCTGACAGAACGCGGAGCTTGCAGTGCACCTAGCGCTGCTAAAAACATCTGAGCAGCTCCAGAAACCTCCTGCAGGAGCAACATTTATTTCTTCTGGGGGGTTAAAAATCATTAAAAAGCGTCACCTGAACTGGGATTTCCCCAGAAACTTTTTTTTTTTTGTTGTTGTTGTTGTTTTCAGGTGGTTTTCGGGGCAGGAAAGGAAGGAGATCTCATTAGAGCTTCGGTGGTTCTCAGTAACCCATAAGCCTTGTTTTGCTGGCTGCTTACTGGTGCATTTAATAAAATAAAGATCACTCTGTGGTGCCGTGGGCAGCGTGCAAGGTGATAGCCATATTTGCTTACTGTAAATACGAGGGGAAATCACACACAAACGGGCTGGAGTTTTGACAAGTATTAAGATGGCTCTTTACATCTGTACTCCTGTACCAAAGTGCAATTAGTTTTCCCCGCACAAGGATTTCTGTTTATCTTATTCTGCTTGATTACTTGAGCATAATCGCGCCGTTTGCTTCATTGCTCCTGGTAGTAAGCTCCAGTTTAAAAAGGGGAGGATGAGTGTGTGTAAATATACAGAATTCTGCTGTAAGACTCTAATTTATGCATCTGGATGACAGCGTTTCCTTAATTTTTTTTATTTTTTTTTTCTTCCCCCCCCCCTCCTTTACTCTTTCTTTCCACAAGGTTTGGTTCATGTACATCAGATTCCTCGGCTCAATAGCTTGATCTGTGATGTGTCAGACACCAAGGACCTTGCTTTTAGATTAAAAAGGAAGCAGTTCACCATCGAGGTAAGAGAAACCTTGTTTCGCTCTTTAGAACCCAAAAGGTGGAGCTAATCCCATCTCTTATGTTTCGTTTTGTTGAAATACATAAAATATGCATCAGATGATGTCAATTCATTTCGTTCTGGCTTTGCTGTTGGGAAGGGGTTTATAAAATACTGTAATATGCCTCCTAATTAAAAATGTCTCGTTTGCTGCGCTATAAATACTTTATTTTGGTTTAAAATGTACATAGAAAGTAGGCCACAACCTTCAATAACAAAGCATGACATGTTTCTAAGGATGTCAGGAGCATATTTAATTAAATGTTAATGACTTGCTCTTACTTGTGTTAGTGGGTGGGAAAGTAGCTACATGTTATTACCCCAGTAGAGGGATTTTAATGTATAATGTTGGCTAAAATTGTGTGTGGTATGGGGGATAAGTGTCCTTATCAGTATTCAGAAACCATTTTCTTTGCATTACTGAAATCACCTTTCGCTCTTTTATGTCATTTTAAACACAGTATCATTTACACTAATGTCCTTAAGTAAATTTCCTACTAAATTTAAACTTTTTTTCTGTGACCTTTATGCAGGCAGTCCTGATAGAAGGCAGTTATACAAAAGATGTATTTCATTTTAATCTTGCTAAAGAGCAAATGAACATAGCACTATTAAGCAATTAGAGCTGATGTATTTATTAACCAAGTAATGCTTAGAGATGGAAGATGGCTTTCAGGGTGATGCAATAGTCATTGGTACAGTCTGGGCAAATTTTTTTTTTTTTTTTTTTTTTTTTTAACAAAGACATAAAACAGCCAAGCATCCCTGACAAACCATTTTGTTTAATCTCTTTTCAGATGAAAAGCTCTTAAGCAGGCCACTTGTCTTAACTGCTTGAAACCATAAAAAGGGAGAATTGCCACCAATAAATTAGCATATTTTTTACTCCATCACCAAATGCTGGTCAATGTGGCTTGGCACTGCTTTGGTGTTTGGGACTTCACCCTTAAGTGACCACTTTGGCCCTTATTTGACCCTCTGCCCTTTTTAGCTGGCCACTTGATAAGGTAACTTCAGGGTTCTCTCTCTTCACTGCCCCCTCCCCTTCACAATTGCAAGTAGCCCTAACCTATAAATCATTGAAAGGGCCCTATCAAGTGACAAATTAAGGTGCCCTCCTCCTAATTAATGGTCATCAATGTCTTTAATTATCTAATCCTATTGAGAGGTAGTTAATAGTTAATCAGGCAGCCAGTTCTTCATGCAGGTCATCTCTGCGTGAGTGCTAGAAGTTTCTCAACCAGAGGGATCCTCTTCAGAAGCCACTTAAAGGCAAGCACATGGAGGAGGGCTTTTTTCCCCAAGACAATTCCTTTAGAAAGTTTGTCACTTTCCAGAGAATGCAGCGAGTGGGACCAGGCGTTGTGAGGTATTAAAGCATTTGAGCAACTGCTTTTGAGCAGTACAGTAGGAACAAAACCCTTGGTAGTCTGTGTTTGGTTTTAAAATACGAATGTTCTCTCTGTTTTCAGAGGTGTAGAGAGGCGTGCATCCTCATTTCACAGCATAGTAAATTCTCATTTGTCATAGCTGTGAGTTAGGGTATTTGGGTGGTGTCTCAGAATACAATTTTCTCTTCCAGACACGTTTAAGATTCTAATCTGTAATGTAATTTGGAAAGAAAGAAAACCCTTAGCAGGAGGCTCTGTAAAAAGAATTGAATTAGCCATGGGACATTGGAAACAGGAGTGAAGTGCAACTCTTGGAACAACCTGTTGTCTCAGACATGCGTGGATGACCCACTTGTGTAATTTCTGCCTTCGCTGCTCAGCTGCAGCCCCTTTTGAATAACTTCAGGTTTTGTTAGAGATATGCTTTCTGTAAGCTGAACTGACACAAACTCTCCCTTTTTGAACATGTTAGATCACTGTCCTACTGTGATCTTCCTGTACAAGTTTTGCTAATCCATAATACATATGTTTTTCTTCCTCATACTGTTAGGGAAAGCAGAGAGGCTGGCTGGGGTAAGAAAATGGGAGCAAGGGAAAACTGAATTAGGAAAGGATGTGAATGAGGTCTTCTGAAATGGGTTTCTGCAGCTAGAATGTGATGTGTCAGCAGTCAGTCAGCGCTGGTTCTGGGGGCAGAAGCAAAAAGCAGCACAACAGTGTGCATTGCAAGCATTGTATGTGCCTTATACACAATGCAATGAGCTAGGGCTTCTTCAGTGTGCAGCTTAAATAGGAAATTAAAATTTATATAGAGTACCTTAGAGTTTTTGGAAAGATTCTACATACTTATATGCATGATTTAAGATAAAAATATTGCCCTCTACTTGAAATGCTGCTTTAAAATCAAATTGCATAAGAAAAGCTGGAAACACAGAACCTATGAATTACGGTGACATTTCTTCCATACGGGTTTTATTCACTAGACCATTCTTTTTTTATAGTTAAAATAAGAACATGGGACATGGATTTACTTATCTCTGGATTGCTCACCAGTTAAACAACTCCTTATAGTTTGGCCCTCGCAGGTGGAAAACCTTGAATGTCAAATCTATTTTATTAGATTGCAGTTTTGTGGGAGGAACTCCACCTCTTTATGGCCCGCAGAATCTTTTAACCATTTCAGTTTTCCTTGTGTCTTCTTCATCAAAGTAAGATGGGTTGAAATGTTCTCCAAAGAGATTTTATTTTAAAATTCAGGATGAAAATGGTTTTTTAATGAATATTTATGAGTGCTCATTGTCCATTTATAAATGATGAAGAGGAACCTTCCAGGAAAGCTTCCATGTTTATCTAAAAGGTGCAGTAGCTATTTCAAGCTTTCTCAAATCTTCACACATTAGTTACTAGCAATATTCTCTTATATGCAGCATTATCAGAGATCTATCTTATGTGCATGCCACTTTAAAGGACACAATTTTGAAGTTAGCCTGTCTAATCCTATTTCTTCCCACTTTGGAATCTTAATTAGAAGGAGATAAAAAACATCATTTGACTAAATTATTGTCTCGAATCTGTAGCAAAAGGTATAATCCGCAATTGGGCCAATTAGTGTACCCCATAGTTAGCTATGCTGAGGCAGGAAACTTGATTAGATCTGACACCAGCCTAGTTCCCACTGTTGTTTTGCCAGGTATGATGGTCAGACTTCAAAGGGCTTGAGGCATCAGCAGGGCAAGGTTTGGAGGCCAGCTTAGGTCCGGTCGCTAATCTCCCCGCTAAAACCACAGCAGCCCTCGCACAAAACAAGCTTACACGACACAATCATGCGGTATTAAAGTTTGGGTTGAGTCATGCCAATTTGCCTTTGATTTTCTGATGATTGACTAAAAGATGGCTACATGACTAGACACATACTGAACGTTTACTGATTAGGTAAGTTCCCCAAATATTTGAAATATTTTTTGATTTCTCAGTTAAATGATATGACAGCCCGTTCTTCTTAATGCGGCCGTTCAGCAGAGCTGCTCTTGAAGTTTTGTGTTTTGTAGCTCTGAGTGTAACTTTTATCAGCATTGGAGAAATTTTGTAGGAGCATTACATTCGTAGTTTTATTTGACAGAACTTTATCTTTGTTGTTCCAAAGCCTCCTGTGTCAAGACTTAAGAAATCTCTGCTTAAAGTTGGTTTTTTTGCCACCCCAAATTTCTGTGGGAAGATTGTTTATCTTTGTTACTGGGGTAGATTTATAATTACTCTCCAAAAAGGACATTTTCCTTTAATTATTTTCCACCTTACCATTGAGTAAAGCGCTGCTCCACGGCTGTGATTACATAAGTGTTCCTTTCTTTTGCAGTCTGATTTGTTCAAATATTGCAGTAACAGTGACATGTTTCCATTCTGAGAAAAGCCTAAGGCTGCTTTAGTATTATTCCAAATGATTGAAATTGCCATCTTGCTGACTTTCCCTTGGGCAGCTTAGGGCCTGTTTACTTTTGTATTTGTTTCACATGTTCCCTCTGAGTTTGGCTGGCAGGACATCATTACCTGGTTTGACAAGACAGTTGGAGAAGATTCATATTTGATTAACTCCCTTTGTTATTGTCTGGACAACACAGACCTCTGAAATTATCTATTTAAACTTAAAGCCCCTGATACATTCAGATAAGTGCTTGCAAATAGCAAAGTTTCTGAGGGTGTTTTTTTTTTTTTAATTCCCTAGTTTTTCTTAATTTATAAGTCTTCAAGTTACTGTCAATTATTAGGAGTATAGAGGTGAAGCTTTTTTCCTAGAAGTTTTTACATTATGGTTTGTCTAATAAATACTTGTTGTGCAAATACATTTTTTTAATCAAAACTCAAGTCACAGCAGCCAACATTTTCTTTTAAATGTCTACACCACCTGTGCAGCCCACCATAAATTCTTTAGAAGCCTGCTCAGTTTGAGGCCAAATGTCATATATGATTTAAAGAATAGCCATGCAGCAACAAAAAAAAAAACAAAAAAAAAAAACAAGTTTCCAGAGCTTAATGTACAGATTCAGGACCTTTTCTGAGAGGTGTTTCCTAACAGGAGAGGGGAAGGAATTAGAGGAGTCCTGTGGCTGGTTTCTCAGAGCAGGGCAGATGAAGTATGGCACTGTGGAGCACTCTGTATTTCATTTTCCCCATGCTAATTGCCAGAGTAAAAGGTGAAGTCTTTGGAAGGAAACATAACCACCAAAACCAGCTTCTGAGCCTATACAGAATTAAAAACAAACAAATTGTTCCAAAGGCATTCAAATAATGAACGTCCTGTCTTCATCTGGCAGTAAAAGACTGTGAGAAAATTAATGATGGCCAAAATAAGAAGTAATTGCAACTCCAGGCATTCCTTGTGTCCAACACTGTATTTGGAAGATGATTTCAAGCTCTTTGAGGTGGTGATTTTGGCCATTTAAAGCAGGAGCTGTGCCTTAGGTAGCCTCCATCTGAAATCTCTGAATTTCTGACTTTTTTTTTTGTCCTCCTTTCAGTGTCTCTCTTTCCATTGCTTGTGGTAAACTTCTTATTTGCAAAAGGGAGGTGCAAGTGG